ACTATATGTCCAGTATGGAAATATCAATTATAAAAGCAGGCATATATTTCCACACATATACATGGTTATTTTGAAAAAAAAATCACATATTCATTGTAGCAAACACAGCAAAAGCTATCACTATATAACTAGAATTACTTTGCAACAGTTAATGTACAGAACTTCCTAAAATCTTATGTTGTTTTCTGCCTAACATCAGCAGTCACATTTTGCAAAGTCAACATGATTCCCTACTAAACTGATTTGCCATTCATTCTCATGAATTATTTCAGCAATGATAGTCCAGTCAAAATGCTTAGGCATTATTGAATGGCTTGTTCTTCTGTGTAGTATCTGGGCTGTTTCATTGTTAGTGCCACTCTATTCCATGTTAATTAGCCACCTACTTTGATAGAACTTAAGGTGGCCAGTTGGGTCCAGCATGCAATGCTGCAATGCCCACTTGTGTCACATAGCTACCAGGTGTGTCAAGTCCACCATGCTTCTCATATTCCGTTGTATTCTAACAGAGAACAACTCAGACATTAACTTTCACGTATTCATCTGTTGTAGTCTGCAAGCTCATAAATTAACCAGTATAGCCCTGTTATCAATACGCTCTTTCTCTGCCCAGTTCTGGACCAATGACACTGCATATTGTATTGATTCTCCACCCCATGATGTGCATAGTTCCTACAAGCACCACAAGATATGTTCCATCTTAAAATGTTGTCGGCTTAGAGGCACTGTTATCTCCACGCTAGCCAAGGGCAATTCTGTGCAAGGCTTTCATCCTCAATCATCTGCTTCTTTTCAAAGCAAGGTAGTCAACCCAGCAGTTGGATTCAAAGGAACAGTTTACTGGAACAAACAAACTGTAGCTGTGATTCGACTGGCCATGCTTCTGTTCAACTCTTATCGAGGATCTGAACTTTGCCTTCCTCTGAGACTCCTGACTGTAGTTTTTGCCACTTCCAGCTGGGATTCTTATTTCTACCTTCTTCTCTTGTCTGAACTGAAGTTAGCAACAGGTTCTGTGCACCTTCTATTGTGTGTCCACTGCAGCTTGGAAGCAAGTGGGATGGCTTGCTTTCTCCAACTCTTCTCTCAGCTTCCTCCTCTTTTTCTGTTGGACCCAGTGCTTTCTGGCTTCTTTATATTCTGTATACACAGACTCCATGCCTTACCTTTATCCTTTGGCCTACTTAATTTCTGTATAGCATCTCCTACCATGGACTTCAAGTTCCTACTGCTCTTTCCACTCCAAATCTTAAGTCTCTCAGTTCTTGGCTTTGCCACAAGGTGCTCCTTTGCATTTGGATCTGAACAGCCCTCAAAATCAATGAAGTTCTCCACCAATTATTTAAAAAAATAAAAATAAAAGCATGATAGGCAAGTCAAATGAAATCCTCCAAAGACTTGCTTATAAATATCTTAATATTGTTTTGTTTCATGCACTGTTGCAAAATTCCCAGCCAGTTTGGCCATGGTACATGAATCAATTAATAATATGATGATGATGATGAACCTGTCATATTAGCATATTTAGGATCAGCACATTAGGGCGGTGGTTGTGGTTACAGTGTGGCCTAACGCAGTCCTGGACTACTGCTGCATGTATATGAATCTGCTTGGCAGAAAGTCTGCAAGCTTTGTAAGGAGCCAACTGGAGAGCAATTTCTGAAAATTTCTATCTGGCACCTGAGCACTAACCCAGAAGTAAAGAAAGCTAGCAAAGCACATACCTGAAGAGTACATATCCTATTTCCTATAGTCACATGACTAATCTGGCCATATGGCCTACCCAGTCTACACTATTGAAACATTAATTGCAACCTGTTTTGTGTATCATTGATAGGTGAGTCACCAACTCTTCAATAGTTTCTTCATTAGTCAAAAAGCTTTACACACTTTATCTCAATAATACAAAACCTCAGTTTTATGGATGATGCTAGAGAGTCCGTAGTGGACCTGTGATTATAACTGAAGATTGGCCACTTATCATTCTCTTAGCCAAGACACCACTTCAGAGCTGCACTAAATGCACATCTGTCACCATTCTGGATGCACTCTGAGATGTATGGCCTCTTGGAAAAAGATCACTGAAAGATTGACTTTGATTTATCATAGCTATATATTACACTAAGGCTTGCAATCCAAGCAGCATCTATTCTGAAGTATTCCTACTAAAATAAAAGAGAATGCTTCAGAGTAAGTTGCAGATTGCAGAATGTATGGCCTTCCCTTATTAAAAACAGAAACTATTAACACCAAGGGTAACAGTGAAAATATTCTGATGTGATCTGCAACACATCTTTGTATGAAACTGCAATTCATGAGCATATATTACGGAAAGGCTTGCTTAGTTTTTATCCCATCATAGAACACAGGGTTCTTGTACAGTCGTTCACCAGACCCTTGCTTAATTTCAACAGGGCAGTTCTATCCAGTGTTCTGAAAGTATTCTCCTGGACATGGTACTGAATTCTTTTTGAGCACAAGTCAGGACCCCTAAGGACCATGGCTCCCATCCAAATTACATTTTTTCTTAGAAGTAAGTCTCACTGCATTCAGTAGGGTTTACTATGTGTATTTAGGACTACAACCTAAAATTAGCTGAAATTAATAAGCCACTGAAATCAATCTAATCTAAGCCAGTTGTTTCAGTGACAGTGCAACATTATACAAACCTACTGAGGTTAGTTTCTATGGAAGTAGTTAGGACTATAACCAAAATTTACAGGACTGAGCCCATGGTGCAGTTCTCCTGCCGAGGAATGCTGTAACAAAACTTCAGTTAATGAATGGCCCAGGACTGCAGCTCATGAGAGCAACTTAAAATCTCCTAATACTAAACAAAATAAGGTCTTTAAAAAACCGTGTTGCCTGTATTAGGGTATCAATGGCTGCTAGATCAGATGGCTATATTCTGTCTCCAGTATCAGAAGCAGTATGCCTATGTATCCCAGTTGCTGATGAACATGAGTGGAAGGTATGGTGTTGAACTCAAAGCGTACTCGTGGGATTCTTTGGACAGCTGGCTAGCCACTGTGTGAACAGATTGCCAGGCTGAATGGGCCACTGGTCTGACGGCTATTCTTATGTTCTTAGGATACAGTCTAATCATGTGCATCTTATGGAAGAAATGAGCAGAAAAATCTATGAGTTTTGTAAAATCATAAATAATTGCAGATTTTATTATTTTGTATCCAACAACTCCCAGCACTCCTCAATCTGCCATGCTGGGAACTGTAGGAGTCCCCCCCCCCCATCTAAACAGGTTTAGGATTGCACCCTTAAGGTTTTGCAATAACTTGAACATGTTGAGGTTAAAATCTGGCCATCCAGCCTTTGCCACAAGTAGCATTATCATAATCTAGTCTCTTGCCAACAGCTCTGCTTTAAAGAGCAAAAACCTATATTTCTTAAAAGGTCTATTTGCTAGCTATTTTCCTACTTAAATCAGATACAAATTCTTCCAAATGGCACAATTTCTTAGGGAGCATTAATATGAGCATGGCAGTCTTCAAGAAGGGCCCCTGAGGTTCACAGGAGGCATAAATGAGGGCCTCAAATTCCCCTTCCCCCACCAACTACAGAAGCAGCAGCTTGAAACTAGTAGGAACCTTGTCTTACAGTGTGGGTGGCATCCTGATCCTCAAACATTTCCATTTCAAGCATGTTCAGGATTACAATTTAATACCCTAGTTCTGAATACTGATACATGAAAGTAAACTCAATTCCATGTGGCGAGGATGATTGGAACGCTTCCCCCCGCCTTTTAAAAGCACCCTATCCGTCGATTTTGGCCTGAAAATTACAATCCATACCTTTTACAGCGTGTGTATCTGTGTGTGAGAGAATCAAAGAGAAGTGAGTCACCATTCGGTGGAACTGATGATTCATCCATTCAGTCATAATCTCCGGGCCATATTAACAAGCAAAACACACGTGGGTTGTAATCCACAAACCACTTTACACCAGAGCCCTTCTACACCAGCGGGGTTCGGAACAACAGCGAGTTCTTTAACTCCACCCACGCCCCCAACTCCCCAAATATTTATTATCTGTATTTCCTCCATGACGAAAGCGCGGGGGAAGAACTATGCGCGCAGCGAAACAGATACCACAGTCCCAAATGCTTTTTTAAACCTTCCTAGATACGCACACCTGCGGGATCAGGTGCAAGGTTAGTCTGTCAGTTTCACTTCGGAGATCAGACAGGTGTGTGCGTGTGTGGTGGATCGGCCCGTCACTATCGAGCAAACAACGCACAAGGGAGGGTGAACGGCTCCCCGCGGCACATCTAGGACTTACGTCGTTCCTCCCTCTCCCCCTCCTATGACATCTTATATAATAATGATCCGAGCTAATCAAAAGCGGAAGCTTTTGTAACAATCAAGTCTCCTTTCGGCTTGGAGATACATTTCCTTAGGAACAGTTGCTCCTTCGGACAAGAAACGCTTTTCACTCTTCCTTAAAAAAACTAGTAGTGACACCGGCGGGCGGTTTTACTAGAAAAATCCGGAATGGAAGAAGCGACGCAGCAAGCAAATGCAAAATCGCTCGTTACCCAAGAAAAGATGGGGTGCCGCCACTGCTCTCGGTTCCCCATTCCGAAGGTTAAAACGAGCAAAGCCAAACTGTCTCTTCGCGACCTCCTCCTTCCTTTAGAGGAACGGGAAATAGTACACTTGAAACGGGTTCCTTAATTAAAGGGAGGGGGGGCGTGTGTGGGGGGGGGGTCAAAAGAAGATCAGAGGAGAAAGTTAACTCGTCGTTCCAGTCCCTTTCAGGAGCCACGAGCAGGCTGCCTTGTCGCCCAGCCCGCCTTTGCAGCTGCAAGGCGCGATTCGGTAGGAGCGACGGGCACCTTAAGCAACTTGTTATGACAGACGAGCCGCCGCCGCCGTCGCCGTCCTCCTCCTCCTCCCGCTGCCTGCTGCTCCCCCCGCCCCTCAACTTTCCTCCGGGGTGTGAGAAGGAGCGCGAAAGGGGATCAGGAGCGGCCGGTCCCTTACCTTCCCCCAGATAGCCCAGAGAGCGCGCCCCGAGGACGCAGCGCGGGAGTTCTGGATATTGCAGGGGAGCGAGGTGCGCTTGAAGCTGCTGTTCAGCTGACAGGAGTTCCACGGGAGGGGGAGGAGGGGGTGGAGGGAGGAGGAGGAGGAGGAGGAGGAGGAGGATGTAGAGACTCAGCGAGGAGGAAGACTCGCACAGTGGAGCGGAGGGAGCGGTGCAGGGGGGCGGAGGACTTTCCCAGGGCTTGTTGTTTACGCATTGCTGCCCTGCTCGGTGCACACAATTCACTCTCTGATTGGACACAAACTGGGGCACAGCCTTTCGCCGCCCGCCCTCTCGTCTCACAGCTATGGTGCTGCCACACGGAGCCCCGGAGGGAATAGCAGCGGCAGCCAAGCTGCCAAGTTTGCCCCACTGAAGGTACTTCAGCTCCCGTCAGGCTAGCTAACCCCTTGCGGCGCGCGCACGCGCGCACGCACACACTAGCCGAGCCAATCGCGTTCAGCGGCCCTTGGCCAACGCAGTCCCGCGCGCGCGCCTTTGCTTGTCAAGTTCCCCTCCCCTCCCCTCGGCCTCACGGACGTACAGTCATTTATTTAATTATTTATTTATTTACCCTTCCTGCTCTCGCTGCGCACATGCTGCCAGGACTCCGGAGCAATGAGCATGTGCAAACCTTTTGCACATGCTCACAAAGATCCAGTGAAGTCACAAAGATGCTGCCCTCAGCCTGCCCTTTTGAGTGCCTCAAAACTGACCGGAATTCTAAACCGTAAATTACACAAGACACCCACAATCCAAATATTCAACTTCCTCTAATAAACACACTTCAAAAAAGAAACCTGGTCCATTAACCACACTTTTATTCTTATATCCTGATGGATACAATTCCAAGCTGCCCCTAGCTAGAGAAAATCCAATTAGACTAAGGGACTGAGGTATGCAACTAAGAGACCGACAGAGCTGTGCATCCTACTGAGATGCATCACGAATCAAAGTGTGACAACGCCGAAGTAAGCCCCATTGTTTAAGAGGGTTCCTGGGAAAACTGACCATTAGGATCGGCGCTTCTGAAGGGTTTGCAACAAAGGACTGCTGGAAGAGTATGGCAGTTCACCTCTGCAGAAAAGAACAAGATGCAATTGTGGTGCTGTTTCTTTTCATATCTGCAGCACTGTTGAAATTCCTTCCACTACCATAACGATTAAACACAAAGAAACGTCATTCTCGGATTACTATTTTTACTCAGATTATTAGGGGTGGGTAGGTAGGGATGCTGGTGCTGGAACCCACAATCCCCATCTCTTTACTCTTATTTTAGAACCATCCTGCTCTCCACAGGCTTCTAAATAGACTGTTCCTCCTTGCAATTTGAACCCTAAAGACTGGCAGTCAAAAAGAATCTGAAATTTTGAACCAATCAGTGGTTCCATGTCCAGTTCTCACTGTTGCTTCTTGACCCGCATATAGGTTTCTTAAGAGACAAATAAGATGGCCAGGTACTCCCATCTCTTTAAGAACTTGCCACAATCTGTTGTGATCCACACAATCAAAGGCTTTAGCATAGTCAATGAAGCAGAAGTAGATGTTTTTCTGGAACTCCCTAGCTTTCTCCATGATCCAGCGTATGTTGGCAATTTGATCTCTATTTCCTCTGACTCTTCGAAATTCTGCCTGTACTTCTGGTAGTCCTCGGTCCACATACTGCTGGAGCCTAGCTTGTAGGATTTTGAGCATCACTTTGCTAGCATGTGAAATGAGTGCAATGGTGCGGTAGTTTGAACATTCTTTGGCATTGCCCTTCTTTGGGATGGGAATGTAAACTGACCTTTTCCAATCCTGTGGCCACTCTTGAGTTTTCTAAATTTGCTGGCATATTGAGTGTACCATTTTTACTGCATCGTCTTTTAGGATTTTGAATAGCTCAGCTGGAATACTGTCACCTCCACTAGCTTTGCTGTTGTTCAGACTTCCTAAGGCCCATTTGACTTCACATTCCAGGATGTCTGGCTCGAGGTCAGTGACCACCCCATCGTGGTTATCAGAGACGTTAAGCTCTTTCTTGTATAGTTCCTCTGTGTAATCTTACCATCTCTTCTTAATCTCTTCTACGTCTGTTAGGTCCCTGCCATTTTGGTCCTTTATCATGCCCATCTTTGCATGAAATGTTCCCTTCATATCTCCAATTTTCTTGAAGAGATCTCTGGTCCTCCCTATTCTATTGTTTTCTTCTATTTCTTTGCACTGTTCATTTAAGAAGGCATTCTTATCTCTTCTAGCTATTCGCTGGAATTCTGCATTCAATTGGGTATATCTTTCTCTTTCTCCCTTGCCTTGTATTCGAACTGGGATCATTCTGTCGTTTTGGAGATTGTATCCCGGTACTGCTTTTCCTACTCTTTTGTTGACTATGAAGGCTACTTCATTTCTTCTGAGGGATTCTTGCCCGCAGTCATATACCTGATGGTCACCTGAATTAAATTCACCCATTCCTGTCCATTTTAGTTCACTGATTCCTAAGATGTCGATGTTCAGTCTTGTCATCTCTTGTTTGACCACATCCAGCTTGCCTTGATTCATGGATCTTACATTCCAGGTTCCTATGGAGTACAGATCTTTACAGCATCGGACTCTCCCTTCACCACCAGATACATCGGCCACTGAGTGTCCTTTCGGCTTAGACCCAGTCACTTCATTCTTTCTGGCACTACTAGTACTAGTCCTCTGCTCTTCCCCAGTAGCATATTGGACACCTTCCGACCTGAGGGTCTCATCTTCCGGTGTCATATCTTTTTGCCTTTTGGTACTGTCCATGGGGTTTTCATGGCAAGGGTACTGGAGTAGATTGCCATTTCCTTCTCCAGTGGATCACCTTTTGTCAGAGCTCTCTGCTATGACCTGTCTGTCCTGGGTGGCCCTGCACAGCGTAGCTCATAGCTTCATTGAGCTACGCAAGCCCCTTCGCCACAACAAGGCAGTGATCCATGAAGGAGATTAATAACTGTACTTCATCATTAAATGAGACTGTAACAGGAAACAGAAACACCTGAGAGATCATGAGTAGGGTCACTTCCAGCTAATTCTCATTTGAGCAGTGCTAGTTCTGCCGCAACTCTTCTGCTGAGCAGGCCTCAGGAGCTGCTTCCCACCACCACCCCAGGGAAAAGGGATATCCTTCCTTTCCAGACCTCTTGTTTTTTCTCAGCCATCCAAGCTACAATGTTCTTTCACAGGAAAAGAAACATTTATCCTGGATAGTACTTCATTTGTCATTGTGAGTGCTATGCAGATGAAATGTGATGTTGTATGAATGCCTGGACAACAGTTTAGTTCCAGTGACATTATTAATGACAAGGAACAAAATTCCCCTTTTTCCCCCATCCCAAATTTAGATGTCATGTTATGAGCATGAGATTGCGTGTGTGTGTGTTTGGTTGTAATAATTTTTAGACATGTTCTTCTTCTCCAACATTCCAGTTCTTATGGCTGCAATCCTGTAAACCTTTTGTCTGTGGGCCAAATGTGGCCTCCAGAGCGCAAGGTGGTAACACCCGCAACTTCCTTACCTCAGCCACTGATTCTTTGGCATTTTACTGTTAGTAAAAGCTTTCAGTTAAAATATGCTGGTATTTTGCCCCTGCTCCTTTCCTCTTTGGCTCTTTTCCATATAGTGACAATCACCACTGGAATGAGGGCCCCAAGAACTTCTCTGAAGTTGCATTTAACTCTTGGGCTGAAACAAGTTATGATGTACCAGATATAAAATTTCATGGAATTCAGGGGATCTTATTTCTGAGTATAAAAGCATAGGATAGCATTGCATATCCCAGTTTAAATAAAATGAGGGGGGATTAAAGATAAAAGGTTATTTTCCCTTCCCCCATTGGCTATACAACATAGCATCATGTCACCAGACCTAGTGTACAGTAAGTTCCCATGTTTATTTTAGATAATACTTTTAACAACCAGAGTACTTCTTGTGTGACACATGGGCGTTAAGTGAAGGAAGCCTTTCCTGGCATGGGGGTAAGTAATGGGGAAAGCTTAACTTATTTAATTTCTTTGTGGCTGCTGTTAAAACCAGAGGAGCAGGGCCAGCAAAAGTTGCCAAGTGTTAAAAGGAAAGGGTAGGTTTGTTTTCAAAACATCTGAAACAGCCCTAAGAGCACATGGCTGGAACTGCCTGGGATTCTCAACCTATGTAAGCAAAAGCTGCTGATTCAAAATAACTCTAAATAAACAGCTTCTGAAACATTCCTGGGGACTTTTAGTCTTTGGGTAAATATTCCACTGAGAAGATGTTTAGCCCTTTGCTTACTCTTTGTTTAGCTACAGGAGGGATCCAGCCAAAGTTAACACCTTCAAAACACATTAACTTCAAAGAGAAAGTTAGGTATGTGCTTAAGTGCTCCAGTTTGAGAGGGGAATCATACAGCTTGCCTATTTTATTACTTTTATTTAATTTCATTGTGTTTATGGTGAACTGAAAATGCTCTTGCAGCCAGATGCTATCACAATGGACTATATTTCAGTTTCAAGCTCAAAACTAGTTTTAATGGCAGATGTTTTCTCACTAGTAAATGACTTTGCTGTTCACTATCTCTAGCACTGTGAAGAAATAGTCTAAATGCAGGCCAAAACATGAAGATATTTTAGTTACAATTAAAACCTGTTAAATCTTGATTATTAGGCTGAGATTTATTTTTTTTTCAGTTTAGTCAAGAGGATAAACTCTTGCATCTTATTAAAACACTCTATCATTATGAAGACAGCTTATTTCAGTTTGCCAGCTGGTGCTCCTCAGAGGCATTGGATCATGGCTGCAGGCTTGGGTAACAGGAGTTGTAGTCCAGCGCATCTGGAGGGCGCCATGTTGGAGAAGGCTGGTCTATGTCAAGTTCCCAGACTAAATCCCTTCCAGCCAAACCCAAAACTGCTTATTTTTGGAAAGAAGAATGTATCCTGTATCCTCAGCTCAGGGACAATTATGAATCAAAACGACTCAATTACCCATCCCTCCCACTGCCCCAGTGTTTGTTTGGGCTTGTTCTATAGGGTGGTTTCCCACTTTGCACACAGCATGCTAGATTTCCTCTGGCTGGCATACACTGCTTTTAATTCCTCTATTAGTGGAATTTGTTTTGTTGTTATAACAATTAAACAATTC